AGAAGTCATGATGTACATTACCAATGCTCCTTACGTAAACTCTTATTGGACAGTGCACTGCTTCACAATATGACCAAGTTGTGCAATTCTCAATATTCTGTAACTTTTTTGTCATTCTTGATTATTATCCATCCATCCCTCCATTTTCTAAACCGCTTATCCTTCTGGGTCCGGAGCCTATCCCCTATTTTAATGACTGTTAAAATTTGCTTTTGATGATGATAGGGACCCTTCGAATGCATCAGCCAGAGAAAGCGGTTGTGTTACAGGCAGCATGTCGTCGCTGAGGTGCCTCCTTCTAAAACACTTTTTAGTGATTTCAATAGCTATACTCTGTCCATCCCCAAACAATCAACCGAAAGACTTCACTTTATGGGCACCAACAAGTTCCCAGGCTTAATGAAATAGATTACGTTTATACGCAGCCTTTGAAAATGAACTAGTTTATATTCAGATGTTTTACGAGTTCTTTTTGTAAACATATTGCCTTTGTCGAGTCTAGTCTTGTCTTAAACTGACAATATATACCGAGATGACAGTGTATGACTCAGCAGGATTAGCCTCTCTGTCTGTGGAAGGTTGCTGGGTCCAATCCCATCCTTGGCAGAATAGTCACATGTCTGTTGGCCCCCTTTGTAAGGCCCTTATCCCCCAGGGTGTCACTGTTTTCTATATCATGGGACAGAGATGGATCTATTCCCGACTCAAATCTGTCCTCTCACATTATCCTCTATGACTTTGTATGTATGTATTGGCTACCTGTCCATTTCATTATTGACTGTATACATTTGTTTATGCGTATGCAACTGAAATCATCGGCTACAGGTTTTTTTCCCCTCAGCCAGTAGGTTAGATGAGAACCGAATTCTCACACACAAATTCTCTAAACAAAGTTTATTCATATTTTTAACTCCAGGAGAATATTGGGTGTCACCCCAGTGTTTGCAGCCCCCATCCAATACACCAATGTATTTTTTGACTAGTACACCTCGTATGGCTAATCAATATCTCATTGCATTATTTAACTAATGACATCAATTAATTAAGTGAACTGGTGGTGAAATTAAATAAATACATTGAATGACTGAGGTGCCTCTGAGGAGAGGTTTGGGAACTGAAGCGGTGTTCATCTAGCCGTCCAACTCGATATCAGTGTCTTTTTGGAGAACGGAATGTGTGCATGTGTGTGTCTGAAAGAGAGCAGATGGAATAAGTGAAAATGAAGCATATAAAGTTGTCCTCCAACGAGGGGGGGTGGTGGCGGGACAATAAAAAAATAAAATAAAAAATGAAGCATCCCGATGTATTTGTGTACTAGTACTTGGGCAAATGAGTAATAAAATTTAATTTCAAATGTAGCAAGATTGTAAGAGTGATCGTGTATCGAACAGCAGATGGCGCCGTTTATTATGTCATACAGTAGCTCTGGCCTGTACTTCATCTTCTCTCATATCCACGCATTTGACTTCATTCTTTATCCCGCTCTGGGTTGCTGCCAGTTCGGTGACTATAGGAAGCAGGGGACTCCCTGGGCAGGATGCCAGGCGTCACAGATCATCCGCGTGAGCGGTAATGTAGGGAATCCCAGGGAATAGCCCGAATAAAGCCCGCGACAGTTTCGGGAAAACATTCCACAGCCGTGACATTTTGTAATTATAGTTTATATCAAAACACAAGAGTTCCCCAAAATGTGCAACATTGTGCTAATTTTAACATTAAAATAATTGTATTTAAACGGTCAATGTTAACCTTAGTTTTGGTTATTGACATTTTAACATTAACATTTTAACATCGAGTCATTTCATATTTTAAAATAAACGTGTATTCCAGTATTTTTTTTTTTGAAAGTTTTATTTTCTAGAATTAGAACGTTTTCTCCGACCAAACTTATGAACCGTTCTAAATATTTAATATATCAAATGTTTTAATCATTCTTGTGGTCAAACTCAGCAGATTTTATTCTTTTTAATAATCTATAAACTTATAACAGTTTCTTGCTCATATAGTGTGGCCCTAGTGAATGTTGGAGCAGAATTACCACAGTAGTATACGTTACTATAATTATGCTCTACTATACTATGGGCTATGTTTGTCACGGACAATACTGCAATAATGCCTGAAGTCTGTGAAATTTATACAGGTGGAGTCCAAATCCGAGCTCTTTCATATTCATTAAAAGCTTTTTCTAAGACCTAGTTACGGTGTTATGGTGAACATACAATAGCCACACTGCTTGGAAGCCTAATTCCATCAATAAGAGTGATTACAGTATACTTATGAGTCTTCATGGTATTAAATATTGGAAATGAAGTTTCACATAGCCGTTCAGTACATGATTTCCCCATGAATCAAATGTTTGGAACATTCTATAGAATATTTTGAGTATTAGCTCTGTCTTGCCAAGTTCCATCTTTTATTGATTACATTTAGGGGTGCATACTTTGGTGAAATGTGTTTGAGTTACGACAACTGAAATTGTCTGTGAAGATTCTCGGTTGTCCAGGTCATGGTTATCCCAAGAAAGGTTATTCAGGGCAAATGGACTTATTTAGTTCCACCTCCTCTGCTTCACGAGGGTCGTTCAATCTTGCAGTGCACTGCGCTTCTCTCACACCTCATTTGAATCAGTCAGCCTTCCGGTCAAGAATTTTAACGTCCTGTTCTTCAAAGGAGAGGCCCTTCTCTTTCAGATGTAGGTGAACTGCTGAGTCTTGCCCTGATGAGCTGGCCCTTTTGTGTTGTGCCATACGTTTATGGAGCTGCTGTTTGGTTTCTCCTATGTACAGATCTGTACATTCCTCACTGCGCTGAACTGCATATACTACGTTGCTCTGTTTGTCTCTGAGTGTTTTGTCCTTAGGGTGGACCAGTTGCTGTCTCAGAGTGTTGCCTGGTTTGAAATGTACGGGGATGCCATGTTTGTTGAAAATCCTCCTGAGCTTTTCAGCCACCCCTGCAACATAAGGGATGATAACGCTCTTACGTTTGTTCTCTTCCCTGTCAGTTGTAGCTGTGCTCTTATATTCACTCTTCTCAGATTTGAAGAAAGCCCAGTTTGGATATCCACATGTTTTGAGGGACTCCTTTATATGTTTGTGTTCCTTCTCCTTTCCCTCTGTTCTAGTGGGAATATTTTTTGCCCGATGGTGTAGGGTTCTGATTACTCCCAGTTTGTGTTCCAGCGGGTGGTGAGAGTCAAAGAGCAAATACTGGTCAGTACGTGTGGGTTTCCTGTACACTTCAATGTTGAGGGTCCTGTCCTCCTCCATGTGTACCGCACAGTCCAAGAAGGTCAAGCTGTTGCCTGTGACACCTTCTCGAGTGAATTTGATGTTAATGTCCACAGCGTTGATGTGTATGGTGAAATTCTCCTTCTCATGTGTTTTTATTTTGACCCAGGTATCATCCACATACCTGAACCGGTGGCTGGGTGTGATCCCTGGGAATGAGCTCAGGGATCCTACAATGCTGTTCTTTCAACTCTACCCAGACGGTTTCAAAGTCATTCACACCCTGGCCCAGGTGGTCACGGTGACATACCTGAAAGCCAGGGGAAACAACAACCATCAAGTGACCATCAAGTATTAATGACTTGAGGGCTCCACAGGATTTATAAACCTGCTACTCTAACCAGTCAGTCAGAATTGAGAAAGCCCTCTGGATTGAAGGGTGAAACGTTTTCAAAGAACTAAATAAGTTCAGTTGCCCTGAATAACCTTGCTTGGGACAACTGAAATTAAAAGAAAACACATTTTTTGCCAATTCACGAAAGTAACGTAATGTGCGATCTGGCCAATCTCTGATAAGAATTTTCCATCAGCAAAACTCTCACAACCTTGAAACTAGATGCACATTTTCAAAGCAACATTTGGATCTCATTAGCTATAAAATGCATTCATAAAGTTAAAATTTCTGCCAAGACCAGGTAAAATCATATGTACCGTGATTTTTTTCTAGCATGATTACAACTGTTACGTTATTGAAAACCTACTTCTGATGAAATTGTTGATCATAATAGGTGGGGGGACAAAGGGGTTTCCGAGCACACGCGAATAAGCGACGCGTGCAGCTATTCGATATGTACTTACAAAAATACAGCAAAACTAATCAAAATAATAATACTGATTTGGTACAAAATTAGAAAAGCAGTGCGTTTCTAATTCATTTCGAATATCCACAGGTAGCTGTTCGCAGTGTTTCAATAAATTAACAAGGGGTTTGGCAGCGTTCGACTTTGTATTTAGACGGTATTGCTTTTATTTTTGCGTTACCTATAGTTATTGGTATAAGCGTCTTAATTTACATGTTAATTAGCCTACATGTAGTGCTATAAAAAAATTAACATACGCTGTGCTTATTACATGAAAAATGAAGTTTAAATCACTTTTCTGAAATATTCTTAAAATACTTGAAAACCGTCTTTTAACAGTCTTGAATTGTTCTATAAGGCAAAGGATAATAATGCTAATAATACCTCAGATTTGAACTCCTCATAATTAGATTACATTTATTTTATTATATGAGATATTACCGCTATAACGTTATATATATGATGTTATACGGTTTATGGGAATCACGCTTACTGTAAGAGAAACTTACAGTAAGCGTGACTTACAGCTGTCAAATCTGACTAATAAATCTTGTGCCTTCGTCTGCAACGACGACCTGCTAATTCTGTGAATTATTCATTTTGTCACCTTAAATGTTATGTTACATGCGGTTTATCTCAACTATACAGCTGCTTTCTGTTTCACTTACTGCTGCATTGGTTGTGTATTTACCCTGCCGATGAGCTTCATGTAGCGCCTGTGCAAAATATAAGAAAATATTTAAAGTACAAGTGAAAAACTCTCAGGGAAATACCGCTGCTGCTTTATTTAACAGACGGGTTCAGGAAATGGATGAAATTTTAAAAATTCAAATGTAGGTATTTCAGGGAGATTTTAGCGGGTGTAAGGAACCCCCTAGGCTGGCCCCTATTTAAAGGGGCGGTCTGGAAAGATTTTGTTAAAAAACGCCCGTCGCTCTCCTCTGCTCAGCCTGCTTGCGAGTCGTGTTTTCTCTGTTAGAGATCAGTGGAAACTATCATATATTGAACTTATTCATCTTTCATTTAAAAAGAAAGAACCAAGTGGTAAATCGAGTAAGATGGGGAAAGTTCGAGGCGGAATGAAATGCGTTAAATATCTCCTCTTTTTATTCAACTTTATATTTTGGGTAAGTGTCAGCGCCGTCACGTGTAACTTTTTTATGTAAGCTTATATATACTGCGAATTATCTGTATGGTGTTTTATGTAGGTGGGATGTGAAGGGCCGTGTTTCCCGCCAGGCAAACAAATAGCAAGTGCATGCTTTGGGAAAATGCCCCCCGTGACACCTTGTCAGCTCGCTTTCTCTACCGTTTCCCCATCATACCGCCACCCCCCCCCCGGAAGGCTTCGCGGCGCTTTGCCTGACATTTGCATGCCTTTGTCTTCGCTTTCAGCTCCAGCTCCGACTTTTAATTTATCATTAAAAATAACGAGCGCTGAGTGTGAGCGCCGTTTCGGGGCTCGCTGCCTTTTTTTCGCCTCTAAACTCAAATCACATTTTCCATAGAGGAAAATCCGCCCCCTTTTCCCTCCGCCGGAGCGTGTTTTTAACAGGGAGCGTGACAGCCTGCGCCGCAGCTTCGCAAATGTATGAAACAACCACTGAAATGTAACCAGAACGCATGAAGTCGCTGCCCCTGATTAATATTATCATACTTTTTATTTTTCACGACGATATTGTGCGTTTACAGGGGGTATGCCCCGTGTTTATTTTAAATCTTAGTAAGAAATTAAGCGTTCTATATATGGATTATCACCAATTTAAGCATGAAAAATTCATTTTCCCAGACGAAATCGGCTCTGAAAATCTAAACTGCCAGATACATTACGGTCGTGTTTTCGTTTGAGTTGCGACATCGGTGCCCTGGGGGGACTCGCCCTCTGTCCCACGTGTTTAAGGTATCTCACACGGGTTATTCCAGCCTCGCTAGTGGGTATTCATCTGCCGAAAGGTTTAAATGTAGGGTTTAATCACAATGCAGTGAAGTGTAAGGGGACTGGCACCCTTTCCAGGGTGTGCCGCCCTGCCCTGTCCAGTCTGGGACCGGATCACCCTAAGAGGTGGATGGACTATGCAGGGAAATGCAAAGGATCGTTCAATATCAATGTGAAACGTCATGGTTCATCTTCCGTGTTGCTTCTCTTTAAGCAATCTATCCATTTATTTCCAATATACAGAATCGCGTTTGCGTGTAAATAGAGGGATCGAGGAGTGGTAAATCACTAATTGTCTTTTTTTTAAAGCTGTTCCTTTTTCAGACAAATGTGCTATCACAGCCTTTGTTTACAGCCTGTGTGATATTTTCTGCTGGGTTACACTGGTTTTCTGTAGAAAATGAATAGTTGTTTTATGAGGAAGTGCATGCAACAAGATGAACAGGTGAAAGGCAGACATTTTAAAATGGCAGCAGGTAGGAGTTAAGACGGAGGGTAATTTTTATGTGGTTCAGCTACAGTGTTTGAGTCAGTTTCACTGGGCTGATGCACAGTGGGGGGTTATTTGAGCGGAAGGAAAACTGATAGAGGGTTGGACCTCCAAGTTGGAGGAAAAGAGGTACAGAGGAGGAGAGATCTAGGGACACAGAGAAGATGGAGGTAGAGGTGGGCGAGGTAAAGAATGAGCATTCGGAGATTGAGAAGAGAAGAACGCAGGAAGGATAGAGGAGAAGGAATGAAAGCTATGAAAGAATGAGTTTACAGGGCAAGAGGAGAACGTGCATTACAGAGAAGGTTCCGGCATTTCAAGGAGGAAGAATGGGAAACGAACGATATACGAGATTTACACCTTCTCCCCCTGTGCTCTGACAGGGCCACTACTTGTGACTTCCTGAACTAAAATTACTAGTGAAGTATAGTGATGAGTTTTCACACTGATAAGGAAGCGGTAACAGATTCTGTCCATGATCTGCTGGCGTGTCACTCATTCCGACAGTGACCTATCCCTTTCTTCCTTAGCACATGAAATTCATCTCTATATCTCCCGCAAGGATCTAGTCATTAATGTGACATCATCCCTGTCGCCACAATCTAAAGATAGCTGCGTCGGCTGTGTAGAATCCCTTTTTGATCTGTCTGAATAGAGAAGTGAAATGTTTTGTGGATGGGGGTGTTTTGCTAGGGGATTTCAGCACTCAGCTTCATGAGTGGTTTACAGGAAGTTGTGAGCTAGAAACCAGTTAGGATGTTATATTTTCTCCCTCTGGGCCAGGGGGGCACATGAGGTCACCAGGTTGATCTCATCGAAGCACACGTCGGGAAGTTCTCGCAGGAGTTGAGTTCTGCTAGCAGGTCTTGTGGGGAGTCCTGCTTCCCGTTAAATTACATGGGCGATTTCAGTGTCATGGAAGTGACATTTAGCCTCACGTTGGCAAACAAAACAAAAAAAGCCTAGTATCAGTGAGTCAGTTTGCATTTTTTCCCGCACTCTGTAAACGCATGTTTCTCTGATTCTGTTGATTTGAATAAAACAAAGGAATTCTTATCCACTATTTCCTTCTTATCCACTCCTCCGCAGTATTTCCATATGTTTGCATTCCACTGTGTTTGCGTATTTTTTGTCATAATTGTACTTGCATTTACCGTCGCCTTCATTTTTATTTGTGACATGAGGTTTTGTTGAACTTGGTTGGATGAACATTCAGAGTAAGATTCTTATTGCATAATGTAACTGACTGCTGTCTGTGCACGCGAAGATGAACTCAGGAATCTTGAACCTGACCCTATTGGTCTCACACAGAAACATGTGGCCCTGCAGGTCTGACGGGAATGTGCTGTACGTACGGGGCTCAAGGCCAGCGTGTCGCCTACCTCAGTTCACACCCGTCCGCCGTGCAGAGGGCATGGCGGAGCTTGCGTGCAGCTTCTCAAAATGAAAGTGACGCCACGGCCCTGGGTGTCTGCATTTTCCGTGCTTTTTGGGGTCGGCCCTTTGGGTGTTTACCCTGTAACTGAAGCGTTACCCTGGGCAGTCCTTGATAGGGTACTTTCCCAGCGTACATGGCCCTACATACACACATAAATGACTCTGAAACATTCTGCAAAAATTACAAAGTATGCCTGAGTGTGGACAATAATAATAATATTGCCCACATGTTCAGCTTGCAGGGGAAATCTGCTGGACATTTACATTATTGTACTAACGAAAAAGGAGAGTGAGAAGATGGGTGGAATGCAGTGCGTGTCTTTGTGCATCTTTGATTTTGTCTGTTATCGTTCGCCGCTGGTTCGCGGTAATGTGGCTGGTGTAGGACCACCCTCCGCTCTCTGTTTTGGACACTCCTACGGTTCTCTAGTGGCCAAGCCTAGACGATGGACGGAGAGATGGACAGATGGATCCTTCATTAATTCCAAAGGAAACTTCAGGTTTGCAGTAGCACAACACACATATTTAGACCATGAAAAAAGACGATAAACAATTAAGTCAGATCAGGTGGGCTTTATAATCATACCATGCATAGACAGGTGTAAGGGGGTGTGAAATAACGTTCCCCCAGGACCGTGGTAAGACAAACAAACAAGGGGAGAGTTTTCGTAGTACTTACAGAGGAAAAACGCAGAACAATGTGAAACGAGGGGGGCTGGATGTCGGTTTATATACAAAATGCAATGTGTAAGTATGTACACAAGAAGTAAGACGGCATACTCAAACACATTGCACTAGGTATGTAAATGAGGATAAACATTAACAGTGCAGTCATGTAAGTCAGTTCAGGCGTGTAAGCTTGCTCATGTGCAGTATGGGAGTCGAGAATGCAGTGCCGGCTCTCCTTGGATTCAGAGAGCACTGTCCTTTATCTCGGCCTGGTGCCCTGCTCTCGCCTCCCTGCGCAGCTCACATGGGTCCAGCAGTTTCCTGTCGGGGCCTGTGGTCACTGTTGAGCCCCATCCGTAAATGTTTTTATTAGACTGCGGAACAATTGCGATCATAGATGAATCTAGCAGACGGGCCTATAAGTTCCTTCCAAGGCCTCATAAAAACATTCCAGTTGCCTCCCTGCTTCTTAAACTGGGATATGTCGTCTGAAGTGTGGCTGTTTTCGGCGGGTGGGTTTCAGACGGGGGCTGCGCACCTCACCCATGGTGAACAAACTGGATCAATCATTCCAGTCAAAGAAAGGCCCGGGAAACGAGGAATTTGCTCCCCCCCCCCCCCCTTGGTGAGCCTGGACTGAGGTGGGTCTTGCTACCCATCGTTTGGTAATTTATACGTATTTTTGGTAAAGGCAAGGAGCCACTCTGAGATTTTGCAAAGACCCGTGTTTTACCAGAGCTTGGTTGATATGTTTGGGTGACAGGACAGCCGTTGGAAACTGGATCTGCCGTCCTGCTCGTTGACGGTAAGCTTAGAGAGCCCGCAGGTTTATGTACATATATCTAATGTTTACACGGCTCGCCCCAAGCTGCAGTGTGAGGCGAAAGAGCCCCATATGCAGCCACCGTGTTGAGTAACGCTACTGTAATGCAGTAACTGGTTAAGTGGGCTGGAGGGGTGTGATGTTGTACCTTTGAGCCATCCTGTTCAGTTGCTACCTTCAGAAAGGTTAGTCGGTGTTCAAAACCTGTAATGGTCTGAAATGAACGGTGATTATGCTTCATCCAGCTGAGATACACCAATATAACCACTATCACCCATCTGAGATGTGCCAGTATTACCAGTATCACCCAGCTGAGATTTACCAGTATTACCCCATGAATGCTGCTGGTGCCATATGAACAGCTCCAGTCCTCTCTGACTTTGGCTCTCTCTCATGGTGATGGCGTTGGTGCTGGAGGACCTGTCCACAGGAATAGGTGTCATCACTCTGGCAGATATTTACCCAAACTGGCATCCTGCAAAAACATCTCAGCTGAATATTTAACAGAGCCAGGCAGCCAGAGCTGCTCGGAAAGCTGTGTGCTGATGTGCAGATGGGTCTATATATAGTTATAAAATCCCCTGGGGTTGTGGCTGGGGGGCCTGTAGCAGAAACTTCGGCGGGTCAAAGACTCAAATCTGTCTTTGAATTAGGTTTGTACATCAGTCTTTTCTAACCGTTGTGAGCAGGAAGGCCCCGCTCATCAGAACATCATCTGGGCCGTGGACTTCATGTACTGTGACGTGTCCAACGGATCAGTCTGGCTTCCCTTCAGAAAGTCACGGTAATGGGTAGTCATGGAGACACAGGGGGAAAAAGGCAGAGAATGTGGCCAGCCGGGCCTTCACAGGACTGCCGAGCCTTCACAGGACTGCCGAGCCTTCACAGGAGAGCCAAGCCCTTATATTTCAGCCCAGTCCTCACACACTGGCTGATGTTCCAGGGACTGACTGACCCTGCTCTCTGAAAAATGTATGTTGCTTTGGATAAAAGCATCTGCTAAATACATAAAATGTAATTTGGATGCACTTCAACAAAAGGCCCATTTAGCAAAATGCTGGGCCTTGTGGCGTACACTGTCACCGTATATGGCAAACTGGGTCTTCCATGCTCAGAGCCTTTTAGCTTGGATTAGTGTCCAGGGGCCATTAGAGCTGTGTGGATCTGTTACCCAGCATGCTGTGCGTTTGATGAATTACAGCAGAGATTTGTCTCTGTGAGCCTCTGCAGGCAGGGACGGGTGACAGAAGAGGACCCAGAGAGAAGCCTGATGGCTTCGCTTTTAATAATAAACCAAGTAGTCATTTCCATTTCTTACCAACGCACTAAAGTGATGCTGTGGGCCCCATGTGGTGAACCGGGCGGAGTTCTGGCCCCGGCTGTAATCTCTGAACAAGCTGAGAGTTTTTGTCTCTCGCCATGAAGTTGAACAGGTGAAGGGCAGCCTGCAAGGGTGGGAAACTCCATGCACCCTGTTATGTTCTGTGGGGAGTAATTTTGACCGTGTCATCTCAGTTGCAGGTCTCTTTGAATAAATGTTCCTGCTAAATAAATAAATGCAATGCAAATGGTAACTGAGGGATGCTTTGCCAATTCTGCTTTAGTCTGGTTCGGAAGTTTGGTGTTAAAACCAGAGGATATGTATTAACTATTTCTGATTTCATGGTTTGTAATGTTCTTGTTCTGCCAGTTTAATCACTGATGGTTTGGTTGCACTTCTCACATTTGCATGGAGGATGTAAGACTCTAGTAGACTTTGATGGCTTGCTGTGCAAATGTGAAAAACAATAACAGATGAGAGGCAGAGGTGGTTTTGTGCAAGCACTTACTGCCATGCTACGGCCTTCCTGTGACCACCCCTCACTTCCTCTCCTCCACAGATGATCGGCTCACTGGTGTTGGCGGTTGGACTGTGGTTGAGGTTTGACTCGAATATCACCTCACTGCTGAACATAGAGGGCGCTCCCCATACCTTCTACTTTGGTGAGTGCGAAGAGCAGGGCTTGGGGGGGGGGGGGGCGAAATGCCCTTTAGGACTAATGGGACTGTAGCCATCAAGAGCCACAACAGGGCCTTCAAAATAAAGCCTCCTTATTCCATCTGGTCCACAAATCCCATGGTCAGTCTGCCTAAAATGACATTTACTTACCTGTGACCATACCCAACACTGGCTGCTAAATTAGTAGCACTGTGATAATGCTTTTGATAAATTGCCACTGTGACAATGGTAAATCAGTTAGCTATTGGTAAATAAGTCAGTCAAATGAGGCTTAATCAACCGTACTAATATGGGTGCATAACAAGTGATCGCTGCCTAGAAGGATGTCAGTGCATGAAAATGGCTGTGTTAGTGCTACAGGTCGGCTGGCTCAGTGGGAGCTATAGGCCTGACTGTGGCCTTTGAGGTCACCTGTGTTTTCATGTGATGATGGAGCGTCAGGCAGCATGTTTCATGCATCAGCAGATGTGAAAGTATCTTTTTATTAATGTTGCTTATTTTCATACCCTTAGTAACTTGCTTAACTTGCAAATGTATTTAGTCAATTTTCTTTATTTTTACTTATTTATAAAGCTAGGAGAAATGTTACGCATTTTACTTCTGCTGTCTTGTGACGGTTTTTGCGAATCAGTTGCATTAAACTTGAAAAAACACTGGAATAAAACACCTTGACTGGCATCGCTAAAGTGTCGCTAAACTTACTGGAGAGACGAATAACGCCAGTCGACCATCTTAATCGCCGGTCACGTGGCGGATCTCGATGGCTGTGCTGCAGGCACAGTCTGCTAACGCGCTAACGTCCAAATGCGTGGGGTTTGCCCGACTCTTTCTGGAAGTGGAAATACCAAAAATAGGCTGACAGACTCTCTCGAGGGTCCCTGAACTCCAGGCTTGGCCCGCAGGAATGGGAAGAGCACCGGGGCTTGGCCTTTCATGCCATGTCACAGCAAGGGGAACCGCAGGAGCCCCGGGCCAGAGTCTCTGCTGCCGATTGAAGATCTGTTTGGGGTTGCCATGTCGACGGGATAAATATTGTTAGCGCCTGGCCTGGTCAGAGCCATGGCGCTAAACGCTACAGTCGCCCTCCTCTGCTCTTATTTTTTTTTATAGTCCTTTTTTTTTTTCCCTCTCTTGGTTTTGCTGCATCGTCTCTTCTTGCGTGGGCAAGGCTTTCCTCTCCCCAACAACGTTATGCTGGCACATGTTTAGGAAACTGGGCTGCACATTTCAAGTGTTTAATTTTCCTGTTGTGTGAGAATGCTCTACTTTTTTCACATTTTGTGCGAAACTAGCTAGGTCAACCATCTCTCTGGCAACGTGAAGCTTACTTTTGTAAAGATACCATCTATGGTCATTTCAACATCAGGAAGGAAACAGATAAGACTTGAAATAGCAAATTATCTTGCGAGTCTTAGGCATCCATTTTGAGGTTGTATAAGCATAGTGGAGAAAATCCCCTGGGATTTCCCTGCCCTTCCCGTCTGGGTGGTACGTCCCAGACTGCCGTGGGCATCCTAGGATTCCTCGTGCCCTCTGCTCTTCCTCCTCTTGGGATCACGGAGAGTTCCGCAGCCCGAACTCAGACGGTCGCACCGCTGGCCGTGATCAGGTCACCATGGCGACCTGACGTGTCCACTCCCTCCTTGAGGTGGCGATACTTGGAGGGCGTGTGCGAAAGTTTTGGTGAAAAAGTTGCACAGGGTAATGCTGTTCGTCTGTGTCTCCGTGACCAGGGAGTTCTGTGTAAACATGTCGCCATACGCTCTTGACCAACCGTGCACTTCTCTTCTGGTGCGTTTAGCTCAGCAGCGATGAGCTGACTTACGCACCACAGACTGGCTTGCGCACCCAAGGATTAGATCTAATCTGTCTATATCAGTAGCCCCTGCGGCCAGAGCATGTCATGGTCACTAAAACCACAGGCAGTCTGAGTGCTCCCTGCACCAGACATAATCTCACAATTCTGTGTACAATTGCCCTCCTTCGTAACTGATATTTTAACTGCTTATTATTATATTAAAATTTGCACAAACACAAATATTTAGTTTTTCAGGCACAGTATAGTTGGTCCCTATGGTAACCCCGTGGACAGTGACTGAGAGAGGTTTAAATTTCATATTTTGTATGGTGACGTCAAGATAAGTGGCCTTTATTGAGCAACCAGCCTTATAAAGGTACATGGTGGCATTACATTCCCCAGGACCAGGGTGTGACGTTGACAGCGAGTGACAAGGGGAGGGTTTTCACAGGACTTACAGGGCAAAATGTACAAATAGGGTTCTGATCTCTGCCTGTTGTACATCAGTAAATATGTGGCCACCCCTGTTGCCACCCACATCAAAATAATAATAATAATAATAATAATAATAATAATAATAAAACATGGACTGTTTTATTTCCTAAGTGGAACTTTAGAAGAGAAACCGTGCACCATGGCCAGGCCCATGAATAATAACCCACCTCTGATGGCCATCACAGGCACAGGAAATGGACCCGATGACTCTATGTCTCATGTCCTCCCCATGTCCGCGAAAGACTGATGGGTTATCAGAGGTTCTCCCGCACTTGGTGGCGGAACCAGCTTTCCAGTTTGTGACTCTTCTAAAGTACCAGCCAATGTACAGTATGTCTTCTGGAGCACTTGACCGCCCATCAGATACGATGAGGACGATATGGGAGGAGTATAGAATTCAGGGGAACGGCTCTACTTAAAAAATACTTTGGAAAATACTTCAGGGAATCTGTGTGGGAAGCGAAAAGGCTGGACAGAGGAACAAGCAAATAGTTCTAACCCTTAAAAGACAACAAGCACAGTACAATCAGTTGAGTTATGCTTCATAAATCAGTACAAGGCCATGTACACAAATGCAGTACTAATAAAATGTACTTGGGAAAACAGGTGTGAACAAAAAATGGCAGATGGATTTTGTTTTAACCAAAACAGTTTACATGCTGAATAACTTGTCATACATAGCCGTGCTGTGAAAAATGGTTATTTTCCAGGATGGTTCCTTGCAGTGTACTGAGTGGTAGAGTGTTGCCATCTAGTGTTAAAGTATTGTTAATAAAAATAAAAAAGGAAACTATACGCTGAGAAGATGCAATCCATCCTGTTATCTCATACGATGCACGAGAATTATTATTTATTGAAGTGAACTTTTTAACTTTAACTGTTCAGAGCTGAAGTTTTGAAATTGTATGTCTTTAAATTCATTTGCACGACATTAAAGAATTGGATGAATTATTATTTAATGTTTATAAAGTGATTTAAATTTATATGTGATGTGTCTATATGGGTTAGAATATACCCCTTGGATCAACAAAGCTGACCTTATCATATCTAATATCATCTGTTATCTAATCCGAATGTTTAGTATCATTACTAATGTTTAGTATCCTTAGTAATAAACATTAGTATCATTACTATTTCTGCTTCGTCCGGTGTTCCTGACAAAGCCAGCCATTCTGATACGCGCAGTTTTGTGTTCTGTCCCCTAAGGCGTTTATATCCTGATTGGCGCCGGGGCTCTGATGATGCTGGTGGGCTTCTTTGGATGCTGTGGCGCCGTCCGCGAGTCCCAGTGCCTCCTGGGCTCTGTGAGTATAAACTCTCTCCATCCATCCTGGTTTTATCAGTGTGTGTGTGTATATATACTGTCTTTACGTGCTTAAGGGTGACGGTTACAAAGGTACCCTCTGACCATATGTCTCCTAAACCTTACAGTTCTTCTCCTGTCTCCTGGTCATCTTCGGCGCGGAGATCGCCGCTGGCGTGTTCGGGTTTTTAAACAAGGACACGGTACGTACACTAGATGTGTATCTTTTCCCATAATGCCCCTGTAGGTCTGTCTGATCGAGACGCTCAACTTTTGAATAAATTGTTCACATAAACTGCAAAATATACAGTAAGAAGACACTGTGTGATGTGGATTGTTACTGCTGAAATGTAATGTGATACAAATTGAATGCATTTTGCCGATATCGATTTTCCTTTGAGTTTCAGTGTTGCGCAGCTCCAGGTTTGAATTTTTCTGTGTTTGTCGTTCCTGTTTTCTGCAGATAGTGAAGGAGATTCAGGAATTTCACACCAAAAACAATGAAACCACGAAGGTATCTGTCCTCTCCCAAGTTGTTGTTGTTTTTTTTTTTGTTTGTTTGTTTTTTTTACCATGACCCTTGGCAACTTGTCAGGTAGCATGAATCAAACCCATGTTCATTCATAGAGAAGACGACCCTTCTCTCTCCTCAAACAAGCTTGTTTATCTTTCATTTCCCAAACCCGAGCTCCGCTTATCAGATTGTCTTGTCAACGATGAAACCAAATTGAGTTGAGTCACTGGTTTAGTCACAACCCTTAATCTCGGCGCCAAGTTATTTCCTGTTTCTGTAGAGCAATTTAAGAATGTTTTTAGCCTTATAATCTGTATCGCTGTTCCCCATCCCAGCCCTCGGGGACTCAGATGGTCCACATTTTTGCTCCCTATCAGATAGTCTACATTAGTGCTTCTGTAAGCTGAGTGGGAGCAAAAACATAAAACTGTAGGTGGGTCCCTGAGGGCTAAATTGGGAAACGCTGATCTATATTAATTAACTCCCCCATAGCTGTGAATTTCTATAGGTATAATGTCAGTAAAGTAGTCCTGTTAATGTAGGAACATCGGCGTTCATGGTCCGGCTCGAGCTACAGGGGAGTGAGATCAGTTTGGAAGCGGATACAGCTGACAGCCGGGCAGTGTTGCTGATCTAGCCATGTGCGCCGCTGCTATATTTACCGCTGGAGCTTCTTCCAAGTCCGTCTCGGACTCGGCTTGCGTGCCGTGACACACATTACTGGCCAATTTTAAACCATCAGCAGCTTTCGGGCCAGAACCCTTCCCTAGTGCTCCATCCGAGTCGCTGCCCTCTCTCCAGGGAAAGCATCGATGTGTCGACTTTGCTCATTCTCTAGACAAGATATTGATTTGCTGATTTTAAAAGAACCATAAATCTCAAAAATTAGCATCTTTGCAGCTGCTAATTCTGTGGTTCGGGGTTTTAAATTTTGATTCCGTTGAACATGTTGAAACACTTCTGTTGGTTTGTCATCCAGAGCTGTAAAGATGTCTCTGCGCTAGAGCTGCCTGTCCCAGTCTGACGTGTTTGAATCTGGCCTGAAACAACACGTTCATTAAACTTCATGTTAATGTTCAAGCTAAATAATAATCAAATAAAAGAGCTTCAGTGCTGCATTCAACTCTTAAGCCAGTGCAGTAAAGTTTGGTTTGGTTCTGTTTTTAAAAAAACCTTTATTATCCATGTGTTGTGCATTTATTACTCATAACACTGGACTGATCGCAGGACGAAATGAAACTGCAATAGCACTCTGAGCCTCTCCAACTGTAAACACATCGTTTTGAAATTCCCCTAATTTGCAGTGCAGGGATCAGCTGTGTTGTTTTAGTTGCCAGTTATGGGGGGGCTGCCAGTGTCATTTCCAAGCACCTGTCTTCCTCCATCACGTTTGAATGGTCACCATAGTAACCAGAGATTATGAAGTCACAAGGGCGGTCACATGATCGAGAAGTGGAAGAGTACTGATTTGCGTGTGATGCATATGTTGCAGTAATGTTTTTGGGATGTTTCCTGAAGGTTGGTACTGTAGTCAGCCTCCTTGTTTGTTCCCACATTAGCTGTAAAATTAGAGGTGATCTTTTAAATCGGTTACGAAAGGCACTAGCTTACTTTTGGTGTGTTTGACGTACTCTTGATTATTTCCAGAAAAACACAGCATAACAAACCCAGGGCGGGGTCCTCCTTGTTAGATTTTGCCAACTGGGGGGCCAGAGGCCAAAGCAAATTTTGAGGGGGGTTCAAACCTGGGTGGTCAGCATGTGGTGTCCCACCCCTCGTCCCATCATATAGATGAATCCTACATACCTCTCCACCTGTCAGACATCTCACCATGCTGCTGAGAGGACAGGCTGCTGTGCCCGTGATTGATAGGTCACTGGTTTAAATCCCAGGGTCGGCAGAGTGATGTCACTGCTGGGCCCATGAGCCTACTGGATAAAAGCATCTGCTGTATGAATAAATAGAATGAGCAGCCTACGAGGCAGCCTCACAGCTGTCTCAGCCTCAATGTTCCAGTAAACTGAATGTCCGTCGCATGTGGGGTTTTCCATTCTAATGAGGTTTCCCCTTTTCTGCCAACCTCCTACAGTTATGTTGCAGTTTGATATCCAGTAATGAGTGCAACGACAAAGAGGTAAAGTGCCCCTCATGCAAGTTTACACTGACACACACACACGATTCACCTCATCATGGGGACTTCCCACTGACCCCACCCCTAAAGCAGATAATGACTCCTAACTCTGAGTAATGATAATTACTCCAATCTCATAAATACCCAGCACACTGTATTGGACGAAGCAAACTCTGCTCATTGTACTTTACACTGATGTATTTGCAATTTCATATGTTTATATTTAGCTATATCTTTAGTATCTCTTCCATAAATTTCCATAAATACGTACCTGTGCAGTTCTTAGTTAAATGTCTGTTATGATGTTTGTGTCTTATGTTTTGTGCTGTCGAACCGTGTCACGTGTTACTGACTGGCTAATGCGAGTAAGAATTCCTATGTACTGATGTACAAAAGGCAAATAAAGAATCTTAAATCTTCAATTCTAACCCTGAAAGGGTTTCTGTGAAGAATAAAAATAGGAATCCCAGTAATATTCTACTGGTGACGCGAATGGGGCCAAAGTGTGCCTGTTCCTTCCAGCCCGTGACATTTCCCAGGTCGGCCTTCGCCGTTGGCCAGGGGAATTTCTCGGATCGTCCTGTCCCCTCCAGGTGTAACTGAGCTCCGAACCTCTGTGTTCCTCTAGGCCTGTAAAACAGCCATCGGCACCTTCTTCGGGAACAAGCTGCACATCGTTGGCTACGTGGGGATCGGCATTGCTGGCGTCATGGTAACGGTTTTGGGGGGAGCCGCCTCCCCAAAAAGGGGAGGGTCCTTAAGTGACCTCTTTGTAATTAGACCTTTAGAAACTTGTGTGCAATGCACTAAAATAGTGAGCCAGTAGCACCTGGGCTGCGGTGGTTAAAATCCTTCGCTGTAGGATCAGGTTCTTAAGGTTTCTGCCCTTTGAAAACCCACAGGCTCCCCTGTTTCATTGGGGGCTCTGTGTGGCCCGTGGGGATCAGAAGGTCGCTAGTTTAAATCCTGGGGCCGGATGATGCCACCAGGCCCTTGAGCAAGACCCTTAACCCCCAGCCTCGAAAATAATTCTATTCTTAGCAGAAGCAGAATCTGACAGGTTTGTGTGTGTGTGTGTCCCCAGATCATTGGCATGATCTTCAGCATGGTCCTGTGCTGTGCGATACGAAACAGCAGAGAGGTCTTCTAGACATCTCCTTCCACCTGCCCCTCCCCACGTCCCCCGGATCCCGGACACCAGAGCCACCATAAACAACATCTTCTCAGCTGGGTCGCCCCACCGGAGCCTGATGAAGGATTTGCGGGGGGGGGGGGGGGGCGCTCCCTGCTGCTTCAAAGCCCACGCAGGAAGACCACCTGCCCAATTTCTATCCTCTGCAGTTCCTCGACTTCCATGCCACTGTTAGTGCGGTTTCTTGATCCCTTTTCTGTTCCACGTCGACTCCAGTATGTTCCCAGCCTGAGAAAGGGGTCGTAACTCGCTGTTACTTATTACTCCAATCCCCAGCCCTGGCCTGTTGCCCGCCTCAGCATAGCCGGTCATTTTCTAGCCGGTTCACCTGAGGCATCTGTGCTAAAACGTGTAAAGCTGTTCTGTGGTGAGACTCAGTCTGCCTCTGTAAGCAGAGAATCGCACTCATACAGATGCTCTGGCTAAGCTGAAGTATGGCCGTTGTGTTATTCCCGCGGTAATAGCCCCACACCACCCTACCGGCGCCCCCTTCAGGAATGCAGCTGTCCCACAGCCTGGCGCTTGAGAGTCACCCCCACCCGTGTGTCCACCTGGGACGAGCATGGAAAAGTTTTTTTTTTGCCTCCAGCTAGCATGTCCAGCCGGCTTCCAATCGCTTTGGTCAGGCTCGGGATCGAGGACAAAGCCCTGATATTTGCGTAGCAACGAGACCACAGAGCTGGTCCTCTTCATCCCAACACACACAATTTGTTTTTATTAATATTATTATTATTATTCAGCCATAACTCTGGAGTGTACTGTATAGACGGTAGTATGTTTAGACTTGGTAATGTTATTTTTTATCTTTTATTTGTTTAATGTGCCTTTTTTATGAAAAAATGTCGAGTTCTGATGTCATAAAAGGGAGACTAAAATGTAATACTGTGCCTGAAGGCTCAGGTGTCTGAGAACTGGCAGAAGGCCAGTGTGGGGGACGGACGCTGTGAATGCAGCCTGCGACGGACGCGCCGCAGTCAGAGCGGCCTGCTGAACCTTCCTGACTGTACCTCCGCCGACCCCGTGGCCCCCGGCTGCATTCACGCCTCGCTTTAAGGCTTCTGTTTTCACGTCACTGAGGTGTGGGATGTACCAAGGTGCTGGGGAGGGATTTAAGCAATAACTGGGACTGGTCACCAGCAGATCTTGGGCCCTGGTCACAGCACTGTGAGGCAAAAGCACTTCAGGTTCCACGTGTGCAGTGTTTGCTGCCCTCTGCCTTTGCTCTCCACTTCTGAATGTGAAAGCGTTCCTGCTTTAAAGATTACTTTGATTGCTTCTTTTTGTATAAATGAAAATTTAAGAGTTTGTAGTACTGTAAAGTGTATTGTAGATTTGATGGACCTTGTGTTTAATTTATTTAATGGCTGGTTTCATTTGAGAATATTAAAGGACATTAAAGCTTCTCAGGAAGACACTCGTGCAAAGATTGAACCCGAACCTTGTCATTTATTTATTTAATCGTAGCTCTGCAGTTGGGCTTTGCTCTCATTGTGTGGGTCGTCACTCAGGAGGGAGTGACTCATACTGGAGGTTTTAAAAGCACCCCCAGTCTCGGGACTCAGGCACAGGAGCCCCCAAGAAATGGATGACCAAGCAACTGGAGTCTGAGGCCTTCTGGAGCGGAGGTGATCATCGCTGACGTCCAAAAGCTTCAGACGCAGAATAGACACCTGCTTTTGTGTCAACAATGATGTGGTGCAAGCCAGAATGGGGAAGGAAACGAGCACAGGAAATATGTTGTTAATTCAGTAATGGTCGGATTTCCATAATGAAAACATTTCAGAGCGATATTACAGGAAGTCACTAGTTAGAGGCTGATCAGTGGGAGTAGTTTAGAATGTGATGTGTCTGAAGATCCTGAGACGGTCCCTTGTCCTGAAATGAGGGGTCGTCGTAGAGTTATTTGGGCGCGGGTTTGTAGCTGCACGTACCATGCGTAGCCTCCTGGCATCAGGTGTCAGGGTGGCACTGCATTGCAGTCTTGGTCTCTTTCTGGAAGCTTCCAAGTGTGAACGCCCATGCCAGAGTATGAGTGTAACCCGCGTCGGTGTGGAGTTCCCGGCAAGGATCCGGTTTCCTCTTCTTTAAAAAAGGTGTGATGTATGGAATATGGTATTCTTGGGATTAATGCTAAGGGGTTTTCTCTGTGAAATGGTGATACCCAAGAGCCAGATCAGACCACCATGTGATTTATACTCAGCAAGTTCCTGTGAGCATTAAATTTACCTTCCCCTGTTGCAATCGTGTTCTCTACTGACCATGTAAAACACAGCTGGGCTTCCAGCTTTAGCTGATGCTGCAAGTGGACCACGTAAGCTGATATCTACAGTACCAGTCAAAAGTCTGGAACTGGCCATTGAGTTCTCAGCATATAAATAGGCCATTTGTGGGTCATTGGCAATCCCATACCAGACTGCACTGTAACATTGTACTTATATCGGCCAATTTCAATCTAAATGTTTAGTATATTGTAGCACCGGCGGGGCACATGCCCCACATAGAGTTGTAAATAGTCCTTGTATTGTTGTTATTGTTAATGGTTATATTTCCTTATTGTTGCGCATGTGTTTACCTGTGTCTTGTGTGTACCCGGTCTGATCCTCGTGTGTAATTAGCTTCCGCAAATCTCCCACCATGTATGTGTCTTACAGTTCGGCGTCTGACAACCTTGTGTTTCCCATGTGTAATTGGTTTGGTGCTCGTTGGGTGCCTGATGTAGTCCTTTCAGGGATACCAATAAAGAGCATGATCTCCTTGACAAGCAAGTCTCTTTCTCTGCTACCTCGATGCCTCGAACCACCTGATGCCACAATATTAAATCACACCGAATGCCTCATCAAGCGTGGCTGCATAAGCCCGAACCCCCCCCCCCCCAACACTTCAAAAATCTCTGCTGCACCCCTGCAAACGTGGCAAACGTGCAAAATCCAAGCACACAGATCTAGGTGTGGGAATCAAGCCCTCAGCCTTACAGCTGTGAGGCAACAGCATTGTTGGTCTGTATTCAATCAGCACGTCATTAAACCAGAACAGAGAATATCTTTTGATTTTATTGAAACAGATATATACAAAGGAAGACAGTCAGACACAATGACTGAAAGTTAGAGGACCATGTATTCTTTGAACGCACAGGAGAACCAAGCAGCGTGAAATAACCAGTTAAACTGGTAAGAGAAGAAAAAGGTGTATTTTCTCACATTGCATCTTACCCAACTGCATTTCTAACGGAGTTGGTTACAGTGGAACCATTATTAACAACATCTACAGGTTCATAGCTGTTCTTTGGCTTGTTCTTGTATAACTTGACAAAATTCATTTTGAATTGTAAATTCCAGAAACACCAACCTTTTAAGAATTAATAAATATATAGTGAATTATTGTTTTCTTTAATTGCTGGATTGTCTTCAGATGTTCAACGTTGACCGGAAAAACACGTGAAACCTCAAACGTTACGCAGTCCAAAACGTTTGTATGAACTATTTCGATTTGTTGGAGACAACACCGCACACGAGACTAATGCAGTTTGGTCCTTATCAACGATCAACGTCATGGGGAGGTCAGTGGTTTATTGAATATAAATGAGAAAAAGATTCAGATCTACCTAAAAGGTTGGTTTGATTGCTCCTTTGTCATCTTCTATCATTCACTCCCAGGAATGATTTCATGTTGTGGAACGCAGGTCACATTTGCCTTTTTCTGTCTTACTTTGGCCCAGACAGCGCTTCCAAAACACTATGGGTCCTCCGATTGATACGCCTAACTATGTTTACAAGAAAACCTGTGTCTCTGATCATAAATCCAGAGGTGGACAGTTCAGTTCCATAAAGAAAGATTTTGTTTCAACCAACCAGCTGAGTTACAGTCACAGAGTACTCATTTGGTTGGTTGAATCAAAATCTTGGTCTGGATTTTGAACCAGAACTATCCACCTTTGCTTAAATGCATTTGCACAGAGGAGCAGGGATCAGTTTATGTTTTCGTTGCTACTCCTTTCATGTTTCGAGGCTATAACCAGGGCTGGAAATGAAGCCTGCCCCCTTGCCTGAGACAAGCCAATTAGACAAACGGCGAGTACAACAAACTGAACATGGCGTACTACGTTTTCACTGAACTAGCCCAGTAGGGTAGTAGCAAAAATTCTTAAGTTCTACCCAGAATATAACACTAAGTGTAACGGTTCTAACATTCCCAGTCAAACGTTTGAACCCACTAAGCCGCGTACAAAGGACAGTGGTAAATGGTTTGGGAGGAGTTTCACCAGAGAGTGAAGGATAAGTGGCCAATGAGTGCTGCAAATATATATGGGACCTCCTGCAGAAGAGATGGAAAGGCATCACAGGAGGCCTCCTCATGGAAGGAGCAATGAGGAGAAAGTGGGGTCAGGCAGTAACTGGAGCAACTGGGGTTGAGGGCCGAATTCAGTGCATATGTCCATATATGTTATTTTATAGTTTTGATGTCTTTATAACTATTCTAAAATGTAGAGAATAGTTCAAATAAACCTTTCTATGGGTAGGTATGTCCAAACCTTTCACTGATACTGCATGCTAATAATTACTCTGTTGGCACAATTAAAAGACATATGAGAACATTATGATGTTTGAAAGTCTAGCTACATCGATGTCACAATGTGATCGTTCATGGTCAGGAACACCCCATCAATCCGTCCTGAAGGTCCTATCTCAGTTAGGAATCCTTTAGGAATCCGGAAACACAGTGAGCTGCACATCTCAAAGATGGCTGCTGCATTTCAAATGGAGTGGTTTTTTTTTTATACCTGTACCATTTTTAAAGAATAGCTTAATCACACAGCCCTCACAGCGGGTCACCCTATCATTTACAAATTCACTGCCATGTAACATCACCACAGTGAGGAATAGGAGACAGAACAGGTGAAACCCACCAGAAGTCATGTCAGACACCAAGCAGATGAGCTTGGGCACGATAGACAGAGTCCATCTTGGATGTTTTGCATCAAACGAGCATCTAGATATGATTTGTCCCTCCCAAATGGAAGGAAAAAAACATCATTGGCAGCCTTCCAAAGTGGTTCCAAAGTGAAACAGTTTAACGGCCATCCAATTATCTCATCAAGTAAGAAATAAAGGGGGCGGGATAACTGAATGGCATCACATGACACATTCTAGCCAATCATGGGTGTTCGGTTTGGCAAAAATAATATTTTTCCCGAGAGAAACACTCAGCTCAGAATTTTTTTTTCTGTTTTTAATCCTTTGCAACTCTCTTGAGACTTGAAGCTGCCGTGGTCTTGATGATGCATCTGGGCACACCGCTTATCTTCAGGCGGAGAAGAGAGTGTTGGGCGTGTAATCGAGGACAAACTCGCCGACTCCGAGCACATACACGACCTGGGCAATGCCGAAGAGCGGGGCGATGAGCAGGGCCCGACAGCTGGCCCCCTTCAGGAAGGCCGACGGACCCTCTTTCCGCAGGATCTTTCTGCAGGGACGAGATGAAATGAAAGGGTGCTTTATTTGCCGTTTGTACAGATGCATTGTAACGTGTTAGTGTTCACATATCTCGTGCTGCTCTTCATTTTAAGACATGCACACACATAGAGGTGAGACTGAAGCTTGGGGTCTGAGTGCAGGGTCAGACATCCATCCAGTATCTCTGGGGCATTTTTCAAGGGGTTAAGGGCCTGGATCAAGGGTCCAATGAAGATGTAGCTATTCATCTGAACACAGGACTTGAACTAGTATCCTTCTGATCAGAGGCACAGAGAGTTTTCCCACGTAAGTTTACAGGGAGGGGTGGCCCACCTGGCACAGTCCACAATGCCGCTGTAGCTCTCCTCATGGGCTCCTCTGCTGAGGGACTGTAATCTTGTCTTGATGACTGTGGGGAGAGAAGTATTTCAGATGGAGCTTTATTGGCTAATTAAACATGTACTGTAAGAGATCAGGTTTATTAGGAGGGTTAAGGACCCAACAGTGATTTTGCTACTCTGCCGAGCATAAGATTCAAACCAGTGACCTTCTGATCATGGGCAGGGAGAGCTAAACTGCTAGGCTCCACACCGCCCCCTGCTGGCCATTGCATCCCCCAAAGTCGGTACTCACCATCGCAGGGGTTGACGGCCACAGCGGCAATGCAGCCGGCGCCACAGCCAGACAGGAAGGACCAGTAGAAGGGCGGGGCCTCTGAGGGCTGCCCCTGGCCTAGCCGGTTTAGGTGAGCAAACAGCGGGAAGTAGATCACAGAGAAGGGCACGTCCCTGCAGATGGAGGTGGGAGGAGTCAGGTGGGAGGCAGATGGGAGGTGCCAGGCATACTTGATTCGGGCCTTACCTCAGGAGTGTGGCCCCCAGGCCCCGGTAGAGGCCCCCAACGCCTTGGCTATGCAGGAGGTCCCACGCTATCTTTGTGGCCGACACGCTTCTCACAGCTGCTACCCCGGCATTGTACTGTCGGGCTGGAACGGCAGTGCCGGCCACGCTCAGCTTCAGCGGGAGTGTCATGGCAGGGCTCCGTTGCTGCGCCGCTGTCATGAGGAGCGGGACAGTCACATAGGGGCCAGGCGGCACAACTCCAGCGTATTCCCTCCCCCAAGGTGGCCTTGTGACTTACTCAGCCTCCCCGCATCCTGTAGCTGGATTTTGAGCATCTCCATCGGAGTGGTGATGATGACTTGGCAGATCCCTGCGCCGCAGCCCGCTAACATCTCCCGAAAGACCGTCAGTCCCCTCCTGTAGGACAGACACAGCCCCCCTGAACTGCTGCTGTACTCAGGGTCCTCAGGGTTTCAAGAACCCATCACAATGCGAATTGGCTACTGATGGCCAAACGAAACCTCATGAACCATCTAGTAGGGTCAAAAAATACAGCAAATGGTTCATGTTGTTTTCACCATCACTACTCTTCGCCTTCAAGAAAGGCCTCAAGACCCATCTGTTCCAGCAATACCTCTACTAGCCTGACACCAGTCCATGTTCCCTGAATCCTCTTAATGTCGTACCTCCTGCTGATTTGAATAGCTTAGTCTTGTTAGGTTCTTGCTTTTTTGGAAGATGTTTTGTAGTTCCTGCTCCAATCCTGCTTACACTTATACCTGGGAATTCATTGTAAGCTCAACCTAGTTCACTTATGCCAAATGAACTCCTTCACAGCTGTATGCTTGTGACATGATGTTTGTCTTATTTGTACGCTACCTTGGACAAAAGTGCCTTCTGAATAAAATTAATGTTAATTGTTGGGGTTGATGGCGAACAAAACATACCCGTCTCTGGCAAAGTGGTGGCGGAAGAAGTCGTTGGCGGCGAGCTTGATCGCCTTTTCAGGGGTAACCAACGTGAGGTTGACAGCAGCACCTGCAAAGGAATTCGAGGTCGGAATTAGTGAGCGGGCAGGCTGGGCCCATATGCCAGGGCCTGTCCTGACTGTGAAACCATGCAACGGAGGTCCAGCGCCAAGCTGGTCTCGGGCCAGCACAAAATGGGTCACAGGTGAAAGATTGCACCACGTCTCGAATTACGGGAACAGCACAAGCTCTGGTAGGATTAGTAGGCGTAGCAGGGAGGCTTCAGGCCCCTGAAAGAGGCTCAGCACCAGCGCTGCAAGCTAAAGTTGATCTGAAGACCAGGCATGGGGAAAAATGTGAAGCAAAGAGAAATGCCAGCGCATTTAGCACTTCAAGCAAAAAAAAAAAACTCAATTTTCTTTAAAAGTGTATGATACTGGGAACAAAGTTTAAAATCCACATGTTAAAGTGAGAGTAAAACATAGTGACACATGTTGACATTGCATTCAAGGTCTAATCTGGGAAGAGCAGATAGCAACAGTGGACGGGAGGAGGAAGGAAATGCAGGATCAGTACTGGGGGGTGGGGGGCGCTTTGAAATAGAACACAGGTGGGCATACACAGTGACCCACTTCTGAATCCATACGAGTCAGCAACCTGCCCAACCAGTTCCTCTCGCGTTTGCATATAGGGGATCACTGATCCCACTCCGCCATTAGCTGCTGTTACTGGTACCGCTCAAAGAACGTCTGGTGCCATAGGCAAGCTTCACTACCAGCACTCCTCGTCTGAATCAAGACGGAAGATGGCACCCAAGGTGGCCGCCTATGATGTCAAAAGGCTAATACAACTGGCAACTTCATCAGACTGATTTTGCAACAAGCTAGCATGGACAAGCTAACATAGAAACCCTGTACAAGAAAGGTTCGAGTGGCCAGGACTTCTTGAAGAGGCTGGGGTCTCTGGGGTGTGACAGTCGCTGTTATATCAGTCCATGATAGTGGCTAAAATCACCATTGTTTGCTGCGGCAAGAGCATCAATACAGGTGAGGCAGACAAAGGTTATCAGAAAGGCTAATTCTGCTTTGCGAGCTGACCTGGACCTTCTAGTAGCAGTCATACAGAAATGCACACTCAGCCAAATGCTCAGCGTCCTGAAAAATGCATCACATCAGCTGTATAACACTCTACAAAGGGGCATCTTCAGAGAGGGGCTAATGTGATCGTGCTATAACCAACGAGGCCCTATCAGTGGCACAGGCGAGGGGTCCACACAGCACACACAATGGGAGGGGCCCAAGCTTGGGAGGGGCCCCATCTAAATCTACTGTAGGATATTTGTAATTAAAATTTGCAAAAATATGCATATATACAAGGGCGTAACTTTGGGTTGAACATTGCGGGGGTGTTGAGGCCCAACGCCACTGAGCTCTATCTTCAATCACAATCCAGTAAGCAGGCAGTAATCGGGGCAGGAGATAGCAAACTAACGTCATTACTGTTTCAGCTCACATGGATGGCACAATGTGCACATGCAACAAATGGCCACCAGGGGCAGAAGAGAGGAGGGAAAGATCTACAAAAATACATGCCGCTTGTGTTTACAGACGTCTTAGGCTAAAAGGCAGATGTGTAAACTCCACACAAACACAGCTCAGCTGTGGTCAGGTTGGTTCTTTGCAGGTAGATAGAATTCAACAATACAGCTACAGATACTAAAAATATACACGTACACACATAAAATAGAGCTGAGCTATGAAAGTTGTATGTGTTTGTATTTAATTGGCAGGAATGACCAAATATTCACTATTTGTATCACCCAAGCTAAGGTTAGTCACTCATGTTTTTGGCCAAAAAAATCCAAGTCCCAAGATGACTGTGGATGTTAGCTTTATATATTGCAGTATGGCCACTTTCCATGCCACTGACAGATGATCATTTTTGAAGAAACGTCTCACCTCTATACATCCCAAGGTAACCTTCAGACCTGACGGTTTTCAAGAGGCAATCCACCCTGCAACACGGAGCAGAAATTAGCTTGACTGAAGAGCGCTCTCCACTGAGATGTTCCTTTTGTAGCTTGAAGCCAGCGCCAAGCCATCAGGGGAATAAATGACGGAGCTGACATGACAGCCTAGTGCCACGGCTGAACGTGGAACTATAGGAATGCGAGGGTCCCTCTTCACGATTCCCCGAGCACCGACTCTCCGTGATCCAGCTGAACCGGAACCATCGGCATGGTCACAATGACACCTCCCCTGGCGTGTGGTCACCCTCAAACTCAATCCCGGCTCTGTCTGGGGGTGTGCTGGGACCAGTAGGGGCCGGGACCCCCGAGGTCGCACTCACATGCTCCGGTACACCTGTTGCCCGTGCCTCTGGTTCTGAAGCCTGGTCTTGGCCAGGTCGATGGGGAAGACGCAGGTGACCCCCACAATACCGGCAACGCCGCCATTGATGAGCTTGGCTGGCAGGCTGGATGAAGGAGAACCATAATTACCACACAAGCTAAAATTGCATGTAAATACCATAGAGGTCGTATATTAGCCATATTTACCATACAGAATGTAATTAGCATGCAGCCCGTAATTACCACAGACTGTAATTATCATATAGGTTGTATTTGCCGTATAAGCTGTAATTACCACACAGGCTGTAATTAATTGCCACGTGTTTAGTTAGCTATTGTGCCAAACTGATTTTACAGCATCATCAGACTGATTCCTGAGATTAGGAGCAATGTCTCCCTTAACTGTCATGTTCTCCTGTTGTCATTTGCGGCTCGTTGCGCTTGTATCTTTGGCTCATCGCGTTTGCATGTTTGTGTTCCTCTTTGACATTCTGTCCACCGTCCTTGGCTGCACATTGAGTTACATTTAAGGCATGGCATAGTGACCCGGGCAGCATGGGGAAGGGGGGGGTCGGGGGGGATATCCGCTTACCTGATCTGCTGCTGGGACATGCTGAGGACCAAGTGGAGCAGTAGGTAGGAGCTGGAGGAGCTGCGGCTGGACGTAGACAACGTGCGCCGGAGTCAGCGGAGGGACATAGGGTCATATATATACCTGTGCCCTGGGCGGGGCCTGGAAAGTCCCGCCCCCTTTGTGTCCAGTCCACTAATCCCGCTCCAGAAAAGCCAGTGATTGGCAGGCACAGATTTTGCAACTCAAGATGGTGGTGCTGCATGATGAAATCGCAACACATGCCCGTTAGCCATGAAAGGGGATCCTCTGAGCGTGTGATCACTGTAAAGCCGGCCAGCTGCCCCCACTCACCCAGGCCGACAGTGAAGCCACCTGCAGGAGCGATACAGCGAAAAGACAGAGAGGTTCCTCATTAGGGCATTGGGTCCGAAAGGTCAGATCCTGCTCAGTGTTGTATCTGTACCTCTGAATCTACCTTCACAGAACATTCTTTATCTATCTGATGACGCATGACGTGGCTGTGATCAGAAGGTCACCCATTCGAGCTTTGGCCTCGGAATAACAGTCACACATCCGTGGGCCCTTGAGTGAAAATTTGCCTACGTTGCACCCTTTCCGAGGCAGTAATGTCATGTCATTTTCACATTCATGATTGTAGGGATCGTTATTGGCTGGTGATCGTGATGTCATGTTCACATTCATGATTGTAGGGATTGTTATTGGCTGGTGATCATGAGGTCATGTTCACATATTTACAGCAACACAGGGTGGCCCAGCTTCATATTAATACCCTTAGTGTCATAATGAAACATTGGACAAGCTGGTGTTAGGGGCACCGTTTTAACGACCGCGTGTTGGGCGAGTGAGCAGGGAGATGATGGAGCGGGGAATCGGGGTCAGGAAGCCGTAGATTCAGGAATACGGGTTTTATCCCATAAGACAACTAGGATCTATACACACAGTAAACCATATCAATGACCGGACTGGGGAAACAGACTTGAACGCGGACTTAAATAGACAGGACTACTCAGAAATAACATGAAACAGCTGGTTACAATCAGGAATTCAAACGAGGTAAACAAGGGGGCGTGGCACTCAGGAGGATCGAACGAGCAGGTCATGACAACCATAAAGGGGGGGATGATTCCAAGAGCCCCTGAGTGACAGGGTCTTGCCATCGGAACCAGAGCATCATGCTTATCCTGGTCATGGCAGCTCCGAGAAGTCATCAAAAGGTCAAAGAAATGGTCAGTGCTTCATGGAAACCCCTGCCTCGGTATACACTGATTCAGGAGAATTACTCTAAAACTGAACTTGAGCCAATCCTTTGACATCATAATACTTACATGACACAACCAATAAATGACCCGAATGAACAGACAAGCCAGCCAGTCTTTGGTTGTTATTTTCTTTGCGTCAGAGCAGACGCACAGACAGGTAATAAAACAACCCGTTTGTTTGACCTCCATTGCAATTAGTCGGACTCTCCCCCCCCCCCCAGTTCTTTTTTGTCTTATTTCT